GTATTCTTGATGGGATGCATAGCTCCATGTGGTATTCTTGATGGTATCTCTAGCTCCACATGGTATTCTTGATGGGATGCATAGCTCCATGTGGTATTCTTGATGGTATCTCTAGCTCCATGTGGTATTCTTGATGGGATGCATAGCTCCACGTGGTATTCTTGATGGGATGCATAGCTCCACGTGGTATTGGTGATGAGCTCCCTAGCTCCACTTGGTATCGGTGATGAGCTCCCTAGCTCCACTTGGTGCTGTTGATGGGATCCCTAGCCCCACCTGGTACTGTCGATGGGATCCCTAGCTCCACCTGGTACTGTTGATGGGATCCCTAACTCCACCTGATAATTTGATGAGATCACTATCTGCATTTGGTAATGTCAATGAGATCCCTAGTTCTACCTGGTACTGTCGATGGGATCACTAGCTCCACCTGGTACTGTTGATGGGATCCCTAACTCCACCTGGAAATTTGATGAGATCACTATCTGCATCTGGTAATATCAATGAGATCCCTAGTTCTACCTGGTACTGTTAATAACATATTTATTATGATATTATGTTTGTCAAAAAATGTTTAAATTTCAAATTTAAATAGTGACATTGGTTACCATAAATGAAAATTCCTTACCAAGCTAAAGAATTTTATTATATATTGTTACATTTCTGCTCGTTTGTTAATTTCGGGTATAAATTCTTTCCGAGGAACTTCGGCAATACAAGTTCTTTCTTAATTAAAACTAGTTTATTCTTTCTCGATACAACTTTGTAATACACAGAATTTCCACAGTCACTTTAAACTTAACAAACTTTATAACATACGGCATAAATCACAGTGATTCACACACTTTACTTATGGTGCCTACTGTTCGCTTGACTCAATTATCTATCTATATCTATCTCTTCAATTACGCTGTTTTTTTCTCGCCAGACTTGTATACTAAAAATAGGGAGCCTTGAACAGACTCGGGCCTCCCAAGTAATTCATGATCCTTCCAGAAACTCCAGCACGCATGCTCCCAGCATCATGCGACTTCTGCTGTCGTAACAACATGTTTGTGATATGTCCAATCTTTAGATTCTTTACATTGAATCATAGTAGTCTGTTTTTTACAACAGGTTAACTCTCTCATTTTTAGAAATTATTTTAAAATATGCAATATAACTTAAGGTGGACATTACTTTATTATACCATCATTAGAATTCCTGCCAGTAACCACTGCTTGAACAAAAATATCATCACAAGTATGTTTGACATAAATGTGAGAAACAGTGGATATGACTTTTACATTAAATGAAAGGCATAAGTATTTGAATAATCCAAAAAATTATAAATTCAATGTTTTTTCAAAATGAAAAATGTTTGTTGATGAAAGAATTTAAATGATATTTAAGTTTCCATTAGTATTGTGTTGTCACACTGAACCACCACATTCTTATTAAAACACTAACACCTTACATTTATGCTGTCCATATGTGAGCTACACATTAGACCTTATACTTTTGAGATTTAGTCTTATCAATAAGACATTTTACAAGTTCCAGTCAGAATTTTGACATGAGGTTTTTATGTATCAAGGACAAATTTTTTTTTTAAATCAATCTGCATTTTGAAGATTTAATCAGAAATTTGCTCAATATCAACATTTAGGTCAAATACTTGACTTGGTACGGTTGGTGATGCAGGGATCGAAATATTACATTCTAGCATTTCTGAGGAATTTATCATTGCTGGGGGAAATTGATCTTTTTAATTATATTTCCCGATCGGGAGTGTATGGTTCATCCATATTCCTTTAGTTAGGGCCAATATGAACATGTTGCATGGATTAAATAAGAAAACAATTCACGAGGAAATGCAACTTTACATGAGGGAATATAATCTTCCTTATAGCTTTCCCTCAAGTGAATGTAATTTTGTTGTGTTATTTCTATCTCTGTGATGTACTTAGTCTCATGTGGTAATAGTATTAACATAGTCTCACATTTTACTGGTGCTATAACACGCTTAAAGTAATATTTTTATAAGTATCCTTATAGATGGGCCATATGGAGTTTGTTCCTCAAAAATTAAAATATGTAGTTATTCAAATTATTATAATTTGTGAAAGATAATTTTATTATTTTTATCTAGATATAATATCATCATATGCATAATTGTGTATTTATCTGATGCTTAATAGTTCACTGTTTTGATATTTTGGGAAATAATATTTTTATTTTTACAGGGAGTCCCAAAAGCAAAAAAGCACTAGTGTCTTTGAAACAAGATGCCTTCAAGAAGAGGTGAACAAGCCAGATATTTTTATTTTGGTATACACAAATATAAATTTTGGTTAACTGTTTAGTGTGTGAGAGTTTTCATTCTACGGCCAAGCATATTTAGTTTATACATGTGATATATAACTTTGGTTTAATTGTTTAACACGAGTTATCTCTCTACATACATTATGAACAATCGTTTACACCTTGTTTTATTGGTATGTAGTTTTTTATACTTTGATTTCCCATGGCTACAGATATTTGTGTCAATTGGCATATAGTTTTGTACACATTGTTTTCCCCTAACCCATGACTACTGATACTTGTGTTGATAAGTATATAGTTTTGTACACATTGTTTTCCCCTAACCCATGGCTACTGATACTTGTGTTGATAAGTATATAGTTTTGTACACTTTTACTTTCCATAGGCCAGGCTATTGATACTTGTATTGATAAGCCATAAGTTTCATACAGTTAGACTTACCATGGCTACTGGTACTTGTGTTAATAAAGAATAGAGTGTTAACTCAAGTTCTCTAAACCTTATCGCCATGAGTATCTTTTACTGTGCATGACACAAAGTTTAGAGACCACTAACTATACATGAGTAGGTTGATAATGCAAGTTTTGTTACAGTTAAAACTGCTAAGGTAGAGACTGCTAACTTTACATGAGTAGGTTGATAATACAAGTTTTGTTACAGTTAAAACTACTAAGGTAGAGACCACTAACTTTACATTAGTAGGTTGATAATACAAGTTTTGTTAAAGTTAAAACTGCTAAGGTAGAGACTGCTAACTTTACATGAGTAGGTTGATAATTCAAGTTCTGTTACAGTTAAAACTGCTAAGGTAGAGACCGCTAACCTTACATGAGTAGGTTGATAATGCAAGTTTTGTTACAGTTAAAACTGCTAAGGTAGAGACCGCTAACTTTACATGAGTAGGTTGGTAATGCAAGTTTTGTTACAGTTAAAACTGCTAAGGTAAATTTATCATTCCTAGAAGTT